AACACACTTTTCCACTTCTTTTAAAACTGCCTGGATGCTCTCAAGAATAGTGACATCTGAGGAATGATTAGAGTTTTTCAACATGTACTACACAAAATGCCTTTCAAAGTTGTTCATCAGACATTTGATGGAAGTTCAGAAGATCCCTACAACTAAATAGCTCTTTTGAGTGGCACTTTGACAGATTCCAGGTCCAAACTGTTGAAAATATTGACTTCAATTTATGTTTATATTAGCAATGAGTGCAAAAAGTCAACGCCTGAAACAAGTAGCTGAAGATCACCAATAAAGTGGCACTCTGCTAAACATTAGACTCAGAGTGAGGCTGAAATTAAATAATAAAGGGATTAGTTCTTTACTGTCATCCTGTGATCGTCCAAATACAGTAAACATATTCTGCTAATTCAGAAACCACATAACTGGAGGTCTTTCTGATTCTGTTACTTCGAACAATGGCTTTTAGCTGGATCTTTCTTTGTTCTCTTCTATAGAACAAAATTTGTCCAACTTACCTTTGACGCTTGAAACTTACCTAGTTGTAATAACACCAAGTTTGGATTTCTGCACACCAACTCTTTTACCTCCTGGAGAAGGGGAAGAAACAAAAAAAATTGTCTCAGAATTAAAATTTATTTTTATAGATCAAAAGCAGGCAATGAATTGAATCCAGTTCCAAAGAGGGCAATATCAAAATGAACAGTAAATAAAAAAAAGTTATGTCAATATATTTATTTATTTGAAAGACTAGTAAGGATATCCATCTTATAGACCAAAACTCTGGGCACCTCTCCAAAACAGCAATAAAAACATAAAGAGGCAATAAAAGCATTGAAAACTCCCAGTGTCTCCAAACAAACACTTTTGCGTGTAGCAATGTCTAGATCGACCAGGGTCATGCAAACTCAAGGCCATCCAGAAGGCTAAGGCAGGTAGGGTCTTACTGGATCTTGGGCAGTGTGTGTTCCACAGGGCAGGTGCTGCTATAACTTCCTAAATCCTGCCTGGTGACATTTAAAGGGACAGGCCTGGAGCACACTCACCATACCCAAACTGGTAGGATAGGAAAGTACCTTCAGGGATAGGTAGGTTTATAATAAAGCCAGTCAGAGCTTTAAAGGTGATAACCAGCTCCTTGAATGGCAGCCACGATGAAACTGGAAGTTGGTGTGGCTCACGAAGAGCTGTGTAATACCAGCAAACTGTAAATATCCAGAACTTCACACATCAATACAGTTGTAAGAGGTAGATAGCTTTCAGGGACAGCCCCATGTACTGCGTGTTACAGTTATCCAATCAGGAGGTCACCAAGATGTGTGAAGTTGTGTATCTTTATATTACACTGGTATGAACAAGGAGATGCGGTGGCTCAGTGGCTAAGACGCTGAGCTTGTCGATTAGAAAGATCGGCAGTTCAGCAATTCAAATCCCTAGCGCCGCGTCACGGAGTGAGCTCCCGTGACTTGTCCCAGCTTCTGCCAACCTAGCAGTTCAAAAGCATGTAAAAATGAAAATAGAAAAATAGGGACCCCTTTGGTGGGAAGGTAACAGCGTTCCATGCACCTTTGGCATTTAGTCCTGCCGGCCACATGACCACAGAGACGTCTTCGGACAGCGCTGGCTCTTTGGCTTTGTAACTGAGAGGAGCACCGCCCCCTAGAATCGGGAACGACTATCATGTATGTGCGAGGGGAACCTTTACCATTACCCTATAAACACGTACTTATTGATTAGGCAAAACAAACCACAACAGAAGCAAAAAGAAAAGAGAAAATAATACATTTACGTACATAAAATAAACTTTACACTGACTAGAACAAAAGCTGAAGCCAAAATGATTATGTTTAAAAAAATGAAATTTGGCCTTAGAAAGGCCAAATAAACAAGAAAAAAGAAAAGAAATAAGAAAAAAAACATTTTTAGGAAAAAGCATCCCTAAGTCCCTCTCCACCCTTATCCTTTTTTTCCTCCAACTTCCACCATTTAATATTTTCATACTATGCTCTGGACATCTGCAGCTATTGCTCACTTCTATATGGATCCTTCAAATTATTTTATAAACAGTTTCTCTTTTTCTTCAACCCGCCCCCCACCACATTCTTAACATGCCTTGCTGTGCATCCCCATCAAGTAACGTTGGGAGGCCCAGGAATTAGCAGATTGCTTGGACTCAGTTGTGTTTTATACAAAATAGTCAGACTAAAATAAACCACGGGCTACAGTGAACTGTTAACTCAACTGCTCTTCAGTTTCCCCAAGTCTCATCTTCTCCCATCCTGCACCTGGAAGCCCAAGTTGATATACACTTCTTCTCCCCCAACAATCCTTGGGGGGCATGTGGGCTGAGAGATACTCAGGGAGCCGCAAATCACCTAGGAGCTTTATGGCCAAGTGGGAAGGGGAACCAGGGTCATCCCGTCCTAGGTCCAACATCTTAACCATTGCACTCCGCCATCCTGTTCCATTAAGTGATTCCTTACCTTGGTTTCTTCTCCTTCCAGATCAAGAGTTGTAGCAAAGATCCATTTGGGGGGAGAAGGCAGCTCCAGAAACCTCTTCACCAGACCCAGACCGATCCCTCGATCGGATCCAGTCACCAGAACGCTGAAAACGCAGAAGTCCATTGATTTTGCCATTGCTCCAGGAGCTGCAGTTTCTGCTTCTAACCTGGTTGAAGATTTGTTCCAAACGCTTCTTCTCATTGTACAAAGGGCATTTATAAGGAAAAGGCAACACCTACTTAAGACTTTTTAATAAACTTCATCTACACATTGGGCATGCATTCTAATCTTATTACATGTGAAGATACCAGTTTGGTAGGAATATGGCCAGGGGGCTTGGGAAAGGGTGAGGTCTTATCTCCAACAGTTGGAGGCTAACACTTTTTATTAGCCCTGATTTGTTTCTTTGTGTATATTTATACATCTTGAATACATGACGCTGGGAAGCTGACACAAATAAAGTAGTAAAAACGAGTATCCAAATAATTGCAACAAGAAGTCAAAAACAACAAAACCAGATAAAAATGGCAAACAAAAGCCACTGGAAAGCGCAATTCAAATTTTAAAAGACAAAATAGCCATTTCTCAGGCTTTGTATGCCTCCAACAGGTTCAAACCATTCCCAAAAATCTTTTGGGGTTTTATAAACCATCTTTTCTCTCTCTCTCTCTCTCTCTCTCTCACACACACACATACACACACCTAGAATCTTGTATAATGGAAAAAATGTCTAGGCAAAGAAAATAAAATGAACATAAAGAATACATTGAGACAATTTTCCAAGCAAGGCTAAACCTCAAGAGTTAAAATTTTCTCTTGATGGTATTTATATCTGTCTTACTATATGTCTACTATAGACAGCCAAAGTTGTCTGGATCGAGCCGCACCAAAATTAAAATATGAAATAAATCTAATAAGCAAATAAACACCTGAGGCCCAGACCTCAAAAGAGGGAGACAACATAGAAGAAAATGAAGCATTTAAATGGAGTCACCTCCAACTTATGCAAAATGTGTCCAGTAATTGCACTCATAATTAGTTTCCCTATTCAATGTCTGCCTAAACACAAAAGCTCTGGATGTTATATGCTATTCATAAGGAGCAAATGTAATCCAAAAAATATAAGTGTCTTCAAAATGTCCTAAAGCAAAACCTGAAATGAAACTTAAAGGCTATAAGCAAGTAATAAGAAGGTATTAAATTTGCTTGCTTCTATTCAGATAATCATCTAGAATACAAAGGAATTTAAAATGTTGGTACTTAGCTTGAATATCTTAAATATTCACAGGAGAAATAAACTGCTGATCTACTAAGATTATCAAAATCAACTTTTTCCCCCTGCACTGTGATAGCAATTGAATTCTGAAGACCCTGAATATTGGAAGTATAACTCCTTGTTTTGCAATAAACACAGAGGTGTTCAGGGCTATCCAGGACACTAAAGTCTGTATTTGTTTCAGCATCACTGTTCCATGTTTAAATCTGGCAAAAGGTTTGGATTTGGCTGTCTATATTTGTTAATCTATTTATTTTTTTGAAGTTTGTCCTTGCTGTTTACACTGCTCTGAGATCGTCTGGGATGAATAGCGCTAGCGCTTAGACTTATATACTACTTCAAAGTGCTTTACAGCCCTCTCTAAGTGGTTTACAGAGTCAGCTTATTGCCCGCAACAATCTGGGTTCTCATTTTACCAATCTCGGAAGGATGGAAGGTTGAGTCAACCTTGAGCCAGTGAGAATTGAACTGCTGGCAGTCGGCAGAATTAGCCTGCAATACTGCATTCTAACCTCTGCGCCTCCATGGAATGGGGAATGGCATACTCATTTGAGCCATAACTTGCAAACTAGCCATTATTCAACATCATAGATAGAAAAGGATCTGTGGTCTCATCCTCTAGGATTTTTACAAATTATAGTAAGCATGGCTGATAATGAGCCATTGCTGGTTGTTGCAATTGGAGGACATGTTCCACTTCCTTGTTATGAATTCACAATAAGAAGTTTAAAATGCTTGTGGTAGACCAAGATTCCAAGCTAAGATAGACTGCTGAGATCTAGAAATGTGCACTTTTTTGCTCCTAATGTGTCTCTTTGATTTGCCTCAGCAATGTTTATTCATTAGTGTAAAAATCTTCATGCATTAAAAAAAAATCTAGATGAAAATATCAATGGCTAAATTTAAAGATTTGAAGGGATCAAGTAATAAATATCAGATATAGAGGGAAATAACATTAAACATTAGGCGTGTGACATAGGTCTCTTGGTACTTCATACACTGACACTACATTAGCGATCCTAAATATATATTTTGCGACATCTGTGGAATCAGTCTTCCCAACCTCCAAACCCAGAACAGTCTTCATTGGTCCTTCATGATTGCATTATTTTTTCTTTATAAAATGTTTTTATAATATATGCAGTAGTTTGAAATTTTCTGAAAGAGATGAAACAACAAGGACTTTCACGACAGGAAGTAATTTATTGAAGGCCCCATCACCTCTCGGTGAATTATGAACCAATGACATAAGGGTGAGACCGATGGATCACCAGGGAACACAACGACCCAACCAATCCAGAAAGGTCCCGTTGTCCTCCTTAGAAAGTTTGGACAGCACAGTCACGATGCCTTGAGTGCTCTCTTCCACGCTGATTTCCGGCTGCCACAAAGTTAGTTAGTTAGTTTACTTTATTGTCATTGCACCTCGTACAACGAAGTCAAACACCACCTTCAGTGCACATCATGACCATGACCATGAAAATAAACACAAACACACATCCTTCACCCTTCACACATTGAACCGGAAACTCCTGACACCACACCAACACTGCACTCACTATACAGTAGAATTCAAAAGAGCTGCTGCCCTGGGATAAAAGCTGTTTTTCAGCCTGTTTGTCCTTGTTTTTATTATTCTGTACTGTCTGCCAGATGATAATAGTTCAAAAAAAAAGGGTTCCCAGGATGAGATGGATTTTTGAGAATGTTTTGAACTTTCTTAAGGCAGTGGGAGTTATAAGGCTCTTCCAAAAAGGGGAGAGGGCAACCAATGATCTTCTGGGCAATAACATTAACCCTCTGGAGTGTTGTCCTATCTGCCACTGTGCAATTGGCAAACCATACAGAGGTGCAGTATGTTAAAATGCTTTCTATGGTGCAGTGGTAGAAGGTCACCAGCAGTTTTTCATTCAGTTGTTGTTATGAAGGATCTCATAAGGTTTAAAGAATCAGTTGCACCCAGCCCACAATCCTCACCTAAGCAGATCAGCAAAATCCAGCTGGGCTTCTTGACCATAAATGTTCAACTCTAATATAGAGAAGGATTTGTATCAAACTGGCCAACCTTGTTCTGGTTTAAAAAGATGTATGAACACAGCCCTTGTGATGGGTGATGATGCAAAGCATCATTTAAATCCCTAAATTTGGGTTAATTAAATCATATTAACTATGGATGAGCAGGCCTTACAAATGTAAATAAGGAATCAATAAAGCTGCTTCTAATATTTCTAATATGGAATTCTTGTGATTTAATACGCGAATCTTTTCCCTAACTTCCTCCATTTTGATTTCTCAAATGAATGAGTCAACCCTGCCTTAAAAGGGTTTATGAGAGGGACAGAGTGTTGGCCATTTCAGATATAATAACATACTTTCCTGCAGACATAGTGCTCTGCAAATAGAAAGAATCAGAAGTAGCTCAAACTACAAGAGATTTAAAGAGGAGAAGGTGAGATTTAATATTCCTTTTAAGAGGAAATGGAAATGATGGAGGAGAAGGGGTTGGCTATGTTATTGCCATTCTGCCATTTCTTTACTCCTAATTCAATGCTTTAATTCAATTTTTACCATTAAAAACTTCAGGGACTCAGTAGTAGTATCCATATATCTTTGTGTGTGTGCATAGATAACTGGATAGGCATTAATGTGTTATATCTCTTCCAAGGAGGACAAACTTACAACTGGGTTGGGAGATGTTTCAACTGAGCCAGGATGGATGGAGATGCTCATAATCCCATTGGCTGCGTACTCAAGAGACTGGCACTTGGTAAGCATGTTCAAAGCAGCCTGCATGGGTGAAAACAAGGGAAGAAAGTACTGAAGAGAAGAAGGGAGGAAAGGATTAAGAAAAACTGTGATTAACAAGATATTGTGCATTAACCATCATGCAGAGCTGGAAAGGCATAGGAGGCATAGGTACCAGAATTGAACTAAATAATTTATTTAGAACACAAACAGTTCTTCATTGTTAATGTGTTCTTATGGCTGGCAAAGACATTTTTATCTCAATTATTACACTTTCTGAAAACAGGCATTTCAGTCATCTTTGGTTTGGAAATTTCTACTGACTGAATGCTAGAAGGAATTTATCAGCCCTTGGAATTCCTTTTCAAGTCTTCAGCCTCATCATCTAGCTTGGGACATCCAGTTTGGGAATATCCATCTTGCTCAAACCACATGTGGCAACTTTAAAGGACACGAAGTTTGCATATTCCATTTTCTAATCATATTTAGAAATTACATACTAATTAATTTTCAACTATTAGAAATCTTTGGAGCAACAAAACTAAAAACACTGTGTTTACTTTCAATCCTTAATGAAAGGAAATTTTAATTGCAACCTTTAAATTTTTTTAAAAAATAAACAGAATGTATTGATTGTAACTTTGATTTTAAAAAGCTGTAAATGGACTAAGGGTCTAGATAAATTTAAAACAAGAGTTTGGAATTACTATGAAGTATCTTTCCTGTGGAAAAGTACTTTTGTTTTGAATTTAAACAATAAGATTATTGTCAAAAAGATGTTATGGAAGAGGAACATATTTTATTAAACAAGACAGAGACTGAGTTCAAAGTGGATTTATAAATCAAAAGCTACAAGGACATAGAAAAAGATGTTATACTGAAACCTACAAAAGAAATTGGCTGTTATTTTAATAATTAAAATGGAAACATGAAAACAATAAACCCAGTTCCACATAGAAAACACATTAAATACCTTACTACAGCGATATGCAATTGATGGTCCTACATTCCAATAAGCAACAAGTTCCATTGATCCTGAATTGCTGGATATATTGACAATGGCTGCCTTGCAGCTGCTCAGCCCTTGACGTGGGCGTCTCCGGGCTGCCTTCTTCAGCAGGGGTAGGAAGGCCTTGTCGAGAGAAGAAAAGAGAGAAGGAGCTGCAGTCATGTCTAGGGAAAGGAACTGTGCAACGGCAGGGAAAGGTCTTCTAATATCTTCTGCAAGGGGACCTTCATAGAGTCATCCAGGCCTGACCTGGATGGTCTAATGCTGGTCTAATGCTCTTTGGAGGTCTTAAAGATAGCTCCACACCTCCATTTGATGCAGTCTGGATGCCTAGATGACCTAGAAGGGGAGACGATGAGACAATGTACATCCCAGAGGGCAGGTCTACAATTCAAAGTTTGTCTGAGATCCAAATAATCCATTTGTTCTGTAATTGCCTTCCTATCCCATTTTCTTCAACTTTTCTGAGAAAGGAGAGGTACGGTAGCAATAGCAGTTGGACTTATATGCCACTTCATAAGCACTTTACAGTCCTAAGTGGTTTACAGAGTCAGCATATTGCCACCAACTCATTTTACTGATCTTGGAAGGATGGAAGGTTGAATCAACCTTGAGCCGATCAGGATCGAACTCCTAGCTGTGGGCAGAGTTAGCCTGTGACACTGCATTCTAAGCACTGTGCCACCACTGCTCTTGGAAGAGGTGGACGATGGGAACATAATTGTCAAAGGTCTGTGGGTCAAGAGATGGCTTCTTCAAGAATGGGTTGCTTTAGTGCCTCTTTCAAGCACAAGAGCATTTATCTCCTTTTAATTCAGCACATACCAAGCCCTGTTTTCTCTCTGGAATTATGAATTAGACATATGCAGATTTGGTGCACCTCAGGTGACATCCCAAGTTGTCATTACTGTACCATCCCCTGTAAAGATTCTCTGTAGACATTATTGAACCCTGAGGAAATGTGTGGGGTTTTTAGCACAAATGAGTCACAACAATCTGAGGTGTTATCTCCTGGGCCAGCACACCTGCAAAGGAAACAGCTGCACATTTCCCAATGTTCCATCCTGCTCCCAAATCAGTGCACAATTTTCTTTCTTTATTTTCAGGATTAGAGTATTCCCTTGTACTCCTGAAATGCTGAGTTGAACTGTCCGGTCTTTTTTTTGTTAACAAAGGAGTTTCCTTGCATTGAGAGGTGTTGTGACCATAAACAAACCTGACTTATTTGCAGTGGAGCGATGGTATTAACAGAGTAAACTCTCATCATATCCTTGGCATTTTCTGTTTCCGTATCACTGTACACCCAAATGCCAGCATTGTTAATTAGGAGGGTCAGCCCACCTTCTCCAACACACTTTTCCACTCTCTTCAGAGCTGCCTGGATGCTCTCGAGATTAGTGACATCTGAAGAAAAAGAACATTGTTTGAACATCAACAATGCGCTATTTCAGAATTACTACACAGGAGCTTCTTGAATGTTTAGAAGAACTACGTGTCCATCCATGCAACAATCTACCTTCTGGAATAGCATTCAGTCAGAGCATGGCCACCATTACGGACATTAATGTATAAACAGCAATTCTAAAGAATATTGTCCAGAAATAATGTTATGATTCCTATAAAATGGGGTCTAAAATCATAAGAGCCCCATTCTTTGTTGAATCAGAAACAAGCTGTGAGACTGGCTGCCTTTGCACATTAAACTCCATTATGTCTTTATAGTCAAAACCTACTGAATTAAGCTCCTTTGACTGAAGTTCCTGCAACATTCTTGGTTAAAATAATAAAGACATACAGAATGTGTCTCACAGAGGTTTTTTTTTGTAAATCAACCCTCAATATACTGTAATACTTTCCTGCTCAAATAAACCAGGGCCGTTCCATTGGGATTGCAAATGATTTTCTTCCTGTTTGTTCAACAGATTGTTGCAACTCCGATATGAGGACCTTAACATAATCTTCAAAGAATGTAATTCTGGTAAGACAACAACATTAGCCAACCTCAAAGAATCTCTAGTGAATCCAGCCATTAAATGGGCTTGCTAAATTTTCCAGAAATACTATTTAGATGACGCTCTGGGCATTTGTAAAATACAAAATTAGCCCCGTTTGCACTTGACATACAAAACTTACCTAATTGCAATACCACCAGATTTGGATGCTTGCATAACAACTCCTTCAGCTCCTGGAGGAGAAAAGATTCATATTTTTTCCTCATAAACTCAGAGTTATGGTCAAGAAATAGGCAATTGCTTCAGTCCTCAAAGAGAACAATAGCAAAAGGAAACCAGGAAAGAAATGACATTTATTTTCCATTCAACAGCAGGTGTTCATTGTTATTAAATCAATAAAACACCTGTTAACAGACTGCATTATGGCTTAATGCAACATGTGAAGCCAGTCAGTATGACCCAACCCAGTAGGTTGGGATTTCTTAAGAATCCTTCTTCATCCCACTTCAGCTTCAAAACCTTGTTAGCTGGAGAAATGATGATCACATCTTCTGCTGCAGAAGACAAGTGATTAGAATTAAGGGTTGGGTTTTAGATATGGGTCACCTATCATTTTTTGAGATAATTATACAATCTCTCCACCAGAAAATGTCATATTACCTTTCCCCATGGAAAACAATTCTTGGACTGGTTTGATGAATATGGAAAAGTTAGCTTCCTCTTTCAAAGCTTTATAAAATCATATGAACTTAGAATGTGTTTGCAATTACAAGGCCTTTTGCCTTTTTCTGTGTTTTTATTTGTCACATAGGGGAGGGAGGGTTGGGTCAATTTAATTTCATTTTTTGTATATTGAAAATGTATAAGTGTAAATAATTAAATTAAAAAATTAACAAATGATTTACCGCTACAGAAGGCTAATGATAACTAGCTAAGTTTTGTAGACATATCATTTGGTTTTTTCCCCACACAATTATAAACCATGGTTCATAGGTCAGCACCGGGGCACATTTCAAATTTTAATTCAATAGCTTGCTATGATTTAGATGGCAGATGCCAAAACATTCCTTTACATTCCTTTAAACTACACGAAAGAAAAGAAAAATTAATAATTCTGCAACGATTACACCATTTAAAAGGAATTAAGATACAATGGTGTCTAAAGTGAAGTAAATTTCAAGAAGTGGCGGAAAGGAAGAAACGGTGATTGCTATAAAAGAAATATAGAACTAGCTCACACTTTGCATTGTGTAATGTTCCTTGCCATGAAAGGGAAAACTATGATGTATGTGTGTGTCTAGATCAGAATATCCCTGGAGGTTGAAAATAGAATACTGAAGTTGGCGTTTTGGTTTCTAGCCTTCAAGGATGGCAGATGTATTATATTAAAACAAATAGAGGTGGATGGCACTTTGTGGGGTTCAAGGAAATCTCTCTGAGTCATAAATTACTTCTATGCATCACACTGCAAGCAAAGACCTATGCCATGCTGATTGATCTAAACAATCAGCAACTAGGGCTTGAGAATATCTTAGTTCAAATAAGCCATAATTTATGGTATAGCATGAACCTAGCAACTACTCAACCTTCCGAGTCACATTTCTCCCCTGCCTTTCTTCTGGAATGTAGAAGAGGTTCTAAGAGTCATTTGACCATAATAGGAAGATTGTAAGCCTAAATGGGGTAGAGAAGTAGTCAAGAGGTCGCAAATCATTCAAGACCTTCACAACCAGTTGAAAATTTGCATCATTCCAGCAACAGTTCAATATCTTAACCATGATTTACCACCTAATCCTATGTTGATTCTTACCTTGCTTTTCTCCCCTTCCATATCACGGCTTGTAGCAAAGACCCATTTGGGTGGACAGGGCAACTCCAGAAATCTCTTCACCAGACCCAGACCGATCCCCCGATTGGATCCTGTCACCAAAACACTGAAAACAGAGAAGTCAGCTACCTGTGCCATTTCTTCTGAATCTGCAGCTTCAGCTTCCAACATGCTTGAAAGTTTAGTTCAAATGTCTCTTCTCATTGCAGGAGGCAATATTATGAGCCATGTCACACCCACACCAACATTGCTTGCTCTAACAAAAGGAGCAATCAAAACAATAAGGTGGGTGCGTGGAGATATACTACTTTATAAAGTATTTAGAAATACTTTCTAATCAAGGAAGAGACCTAATTAGCAGGAAAAAATTAAGTTTGGCTGCTGAGTAAGAAGCCTACAAAGCCAGATCCAAATATTCATGATTTATGATGTTCACCAGCCTAAATACCTTCAATTATGGAGTAAAGCATCAAAGAGTCAGAAAGAAGCAGCTTGTCTACAAAGAGTTTTGGGGAATTTTCCAGGTCCCTTTCATTTAACTGTCACAAGACTAATTTCCTCCCTTTTTATCTTCCTTTTTAATAAGATTTTTATATGGGTGTATAAGGATTTATTTATTTGTGTGCATGCATGTTAAAAGATTATATTCTAAAAATAATTTAAATGGGTTTGAGCTATGGAGCTTGCATATGAAATTATAAAAAATATTTGATGACATTTGTGGAATCAGCCTTCATAACTATTGTGGTTTAATACAATCTGGAATCCTAGGCGGGAGGATGAACAACACTAAAGAAACAATATGGAAGTGCTGATCTTGATTCTTGGAGCTACAACCTTCAAATCCAAAAGATTCTTCATTGGTCCTTCATAGTTGCCTTATTTTTTTTCTTTACGAAACATTTTCAGTAAGCTATGCAGAAGTTTGAAATCTTGTGACAGAAAGAAAAGAACAAGACCAGAAGTCTTCGTGCCTGCAATGATTTATCACCTCTCAGGGTATTAAGTGATGATGACATTATGGTGAGGCAGATCACCACGGAAGTCGACAACCCAACCAATCCAGAAAGGTCCCATTGTCATCTTCACAAAGGTTGGACAGCACAGTCATGATGCCTTGAGTGCTCTCTTCCACACTGATTTCCGGCTGCCACAGAGAAGGATTTCATAAGATTTAAAAGAATCAATCCTACCCAGCCCAAAACATCATCTGAGCAGATGAGCAAAATGCAGTTGGATTTCTTGACCATAAACGTTCCAACTCTAAAGCGAGAGGATTTGTGTTAAACTGGCCAATTTCATTTTGGCTTATAAAGGTATAAGAATACAGTCTCTATAATCATGTGTGGACTCAATATAAATCTTTACATTTGTAAGGGGTCCTTGGTGTTCTCTGAGCTTGGTTGTTTTCTTACGGATGTTTCATTACCCAAACTAGGTGACACCTTCAGTGCCGTTAGTTGAATAAATTAACAGAACCATGATTAATCATGCCTTGCAAAGGCAGGCACTGAGTCAATACATGTGTCAGAATCAGCTATATACCTGAATTGTGCAATGCAGTGATCTTGTTCTGTTGTTTTCACTCAAACACTGTATCTTTCAAGAACTCTTGAGATTCTGCTTGCCAGCATATGCTTCAGATTCTATGTATTTTGCTTTATTAAATTTATTTGGTGCCCATCCCACCGCAAGGCAAGTCAGTATAGCAATAGCACTTAGACTTATATACCACTTTATAGTGCTTCACAGCCCCCTCAAAGCGGTTTACAGAGTCAGCCTCTTGCCCCCAACAATTCAAGGAAAAACCAGAAAGTGTTTGTAGCTATCTTATTATATGTATACCGTAAGTCACCCAGAGTTGGTCTGGAGTTCAACAGCACCAAGTCAAAATATGAAACCAATCACTGAAACAAAACAAACTTCTGAGACCCACAGCTCAACAGAGGGAGGTAATCCAAGAGAACATTGGGCATTTAAAGCAAGTTGCCTCAAAGTTACATGAAATGCATTCGGTAATTGGCATTAATTCGTTTCCATACTGATTGTCTACTTACACACAAAAAGCTTTGCATGTTATGTGCTATTCACAAAAATATATTAAAATATAATCAGAGAAATGTGTGCGTCTTCAAGATGCTCAGAGGAAAACATGAAAAGGAACTAAGCTTAAGGCTAGATGCATGCAAGAAGAAACTACGTATTAAATATGCTTGTATCCATTCTCAGGAAAACATCGATAGAATCAGGAGTATAAAGGAATTTAAAGTCCTGATGCTTAGCTTTAATATCCTACACATTTGTAGAAGGGGAATAAAGAAATAAATCACTGATAAATTATTAATATCATAAAAGGACTAATGAGGACTAATAGACTGAGAAACAGTTTCTTTTCCAAGGCAATAATTGTCTTGAATCAGACAGTGCATTTGTGATTTAGTCCTATGATACAGTGGCATTTTAAACTATTTAACTTACTAAATGTTTTAGATAGGTTTTAGACTAGGTTTTTAATTATTATTCTTGCAATTATTTTAATTTTTAAACACTCTAGTGTGATTGTAATGTGGTGTTTGGGGCACTGTGCTGGAGTAGCTTTCAAATTTCATTGTATTCGTGGAATGCAATGACAATAAAGGTATTCTATTAAAAACTGGTTTTTTTGTATACTGTGACAGAATTTGGATTCTGAAGACCATGAATATTGGCAGTACAATGCTTGATTTTTGCAATGCAATCAGTACTATGTAGGGCACTGTCTATATTCTTTTCAGAGCTGAACTTCAATTCCACAGATATTAATTCTTAAGTATTTAAAAAAAGTATTTAAACAATTCTTGGAAGTATTTAAAAACTTACCTGATTTTTTTTTTTACATTCATCTAATTTTGTCTGTCAAAAGCTTTAGATCTGTCCTTTGAAGTGTTGTCTTTGCCATCTACCTTGCCCCAAAGAGCATCTGAGGTGGCTAGGGAAGGGCACATACATTTAAGCCATAACTTCCAAACAAGTTATTATTGAACATTATAGATAGAAAGGGGGAAATCGATGGTCTCAATCTCAGACCTTTAGAGTTATAGTCATCGTGCCTTGTGGTGAGTCATGCTGGCTGTTGCTGTTAAACAACGTCTGGTTGGGAGACACACATTTTCCTTCCTTGTCATGGATTAATAGAAAGCAGGATGATTAAAATGCTTGTGGTAGAACAAGATTCCCAACTAAATAGGGTGCTGAGATCTAACAATGTATGCCTTCTGCTAAAAATAATGAAAATGAAGACATCAGAATTTTAATTGTAGGGTCATGCTTGATTTTAGTCTTTATGTTAACTGCTCCATCAGTTTTAGATTAATGGCAATATTTATTTTGATTCTTATTTGACACTGTAAGTCACCCAAAGATTGGAACTCACATTGCCACTGGCTGGCAAAAACACTCTTGACTTTTAACTCACTTAACAACTGTCTGGCTTAAGCAATGGAAATGTTGGTCATAAACCAAGGACTATCCATATAGAACAATTGTGGTCATAAACTGTGGACTACCCATATAGAACAAAAGTTCTTCCCTGAACAAACAACACAAACAAGCTCTCATTTCTCCATCATACTAGGTTATCATAAAAAAAATAAAGGAACAAATGTCCAATCTATGAAAATGGATGTACATTCTGATGGCAGTTTCACCTGGTAAAGCTTGCCTTCATCCTATTTCAGATGATGCAGTAATGCAAAATATCACTACAAAACATGCCTACTGTACTTCTCTACAATCAGATACAAATGACAACTGAGAATATAGATATGAACTAACACAAACTCACACATTTGAACATACAGAGGGGGTCAGGCAGTTTTGACCAAGGTCACTGAGGGTATACCTAGCTCATTCACCACTGGCTGGCAATAGGCCTTTCAACTCTGGTTTAGCAATGGAAATGTTGGCTCAATTATGGTTGTTATGTTCAAGGACTACCCGCATAGAATAAAGTTCTTCCCTCAACAGACCACACACACAAGCACCAGAATGGAGTAGAAGCGAGTGAGACGGGACACAAGCAAGTGCACAGAGATGCATATTTTAATAAAAATAATTCTGTCAAAATACAACAGACTGTGGGTTTCTATATTTCCAGTACAATTTATCTCTTTTTTTTTTGTCAGTTAAAATATCCTCCTTTGGGAAGGTTTTCATGCTAGAGTTGGTTTAACTGAACTCACAAATACTAAGCAGAAACGGATCCAAATGTGCATGAGATCTGTCAAGTCCTCAATAAAAGGAAAATGAAACATGAGATCATGGAAGCCTGGTGGGAACTCACATGTTGCTCGGCCCGTTTATTTGGTAGGATATACTTTAAAAAATCCTTACAGTTGGTATAATAAAATTGTTGAAACAGAGGGTTTGAGATGCCATGCGAGAGCTGGTACCTGAGTTTGCAACAAGTGAGAGGAAGAGAAAAATAAAGAATTCTTTGTTTTCTTTTTCAGTGTCAGATCCAAAATGTAATCCAATTATGTCTGGCCGCGATCTTTCTTGCTAGTTCAGGATGAGCACCCAAATCTTAAAGCTCCAGCCCAATGTTTTGTTTTTTGTTTTAAAACAAACCTCAGGTCCAAAGATTTGAACATACTTGTTGGTAGTGACCCTTAGCTTTCTTCTACACCTATTGTACTTCTCAAATATTCCCAAAACAAGTTCCCAAAAGAAGACGGGTTAAATGAATCAATTGGATAAGGGGATTTGGCACTTTTATTTGGTTACAGGATGGAGGGGACCATAACGGGGGTAAGTGAAGCACCAACCCTTGTTGGCGTGACTGCTGCTCCTTGTTGAAAAAGCGATGATTGACATCAAGATACCCAGTTTGAATCATTGGTAGGTGACATTCCAGTTCTAGAACGTTCTATAATTTACAGCCAACAACTCCTGGAAGTGGTGGCAAAAGCTACATGGAAGAAAAAGGAGATGGTTCTTTGAACAGAAACAGCTACCAGGGCTCTGAAATTCCTCAAAATCAACGACCCTTCCCATTCGAATGTCATCCAGAGATGTTGGACTACAATTAGCCATTGTCTTTGCAGTTGGGAAAGCATAATTGCAGATTATTCCACCGCTGTAATCATGGAAGAGTCACTCTTGCATTCAGGATTTTCCAATGTCCATTTTATAGGCACCATGGCCAGCGATGCGTAGTCTGAAGTATGATCAACATGTCAAATGATCAGAAAACGAGCTGCTATGCCTTAGTCACTCATTGTTCTGATTAATGGTTGATACTGTTCGCAAAAGGTTTCTGACAGGATGACAAAATCAGTCAGATAGTGTCAAACGAAAATATTTCTTTTCTTTGAATTTCTTATCTATGTCAAATCTTTTCATAAAAGCTTTTTTTAAAGGAAATACATCCTAAGGTATGTGATAGATACAACTTCATTATTACCTGGCAGAGCCTAACAATATCTTGTCAGGTTTCATCTTAAAATTGAGACTAAATGTAAACTGTGGCTTTCAGGCTAGACACGCCTCTGCCCCTTTTGCTAATCTAAGTATGGAGAACTCAAAGGTTCTGTACCATTTTGTGCCCTTGAAAATGGTGAAAGCCTTGAACCACAAACACAATTTAAACGTTCTTCCCTTCAACGATTCCACAGGATTTCAAACAACCCTTTTCCGTATGTACTCTGGTCTCTTTAGAACAATTATAACTAGTGTTCAAATATCTGATCGTCTTGGATCACATTCCAAGACTCATAAACCTCTGAATCAGGCATAGCGCAATGCTTCCTAAATTACATTTCACCTGCTGCATCTACAGGACTGCGGCATCAAAATGTTGAGTCATCAAATTGTCTTTGATGAAGAAAATTGAAGCTTTCTCTTTTACACATTTGTCACCACTGCCACACCACCAGCTAGAGATGGCCACTAGCTACTTGTCTGAGAAAATATTTTACAGTGAAAATCCTGCCATGGAAACAGTTAACTTTTAAGCAAAGGACAGCAAAGAAGCCACAGCTTGGAAAAAAAGCAGCAGACAGAGAAGAACAAAAAAAAAAAACTTCCTGAAGCAACTTTGAAAAAGGATGAGATGGAAATTGGAGAAAACAAATCAAGCAGGAAAGAAATCTGCTCCCAAATAAGCAAGAGATTGGTTTGCTGAAGCTCATCTTAAGACGGTGAACATTTAAACTTTTTTCCTAACTACTTGTATAAGTATTATTCTTTATATTATTCATGTTGTCTTGTATTCTTGTAGGGACTGCACCAGTAGAGGCTCAACCAATTTTGTTGTATACATGATGTACAATGACAATAAAGGCTTTGAACTTTGAACTTTAAAACTGGAACTCAAACACTGGAAACCTCCTATGAAGCCTAAAAGCAAACTCAGCAGGCCAGGTAACTGCTAATTGGTATTGCTAATATAAACATTTGCCATATAAGAAGTTACAAAAGATGGAAGGTGGACAAATCATTCTGCTTTTAAACTGGTGTTGCCAATTATTCGGCGATACCGTAATTTTGTGGCTTGGCATTATGATGTTTAAACTAGTCTTACACAACCTTGAAAAGGAATCGGGCAAGGTAAAATCCAATCACAGCAAATGTACAACTTCATGACCATCCAAGCAAAAGGAATGGTGGCTAGATGTTCCCCCTTGTCAAAAGTGCAAAGCAGAAAACAATTCCTTTCGATCTAATCAGCACCTGGCCAAATTATGCAATGGGACCAGAGTCTGAAATTCTATATTTTCTGTAGAGTCAATTCTTTGATGTGCCCATTTTCCTTTCAGCATCTTGCACTAAAATTCAGTCTTGATCTGCCAAGGAAACAGTAATACATGGTCTTCTAAATTCGGGATGTCTTGCTTACAAATCTGAAGCAAACGTTGATCTCTGCTGGGCATTGGCAGGACTCTCCACAGAAATGAATGGAAGTTGCACCTTCTTATTATTTTCCCAGGTTCCACTGACCTGGTGATACTTGCATAACATTCGAAATATTCTGTGCATAGATGCATAGTTTTTTTTTCCATCACAGCTACAAGACTCTCAACCAAAAAAACCACCACACTTTCTATGCTACAATAAATTAAAATTCCCTACCTTCAATGGAAGCATTTTTCTTCATCACATCAGAAACTTTTGTGTTATCTTCTGCAAGTTTTAATTAAAAAGCCTTGTCTGTCCAACTTATGGATTTTAAAAAAATTCTTTCCAATTAATTTTTTTTTTAAAAAAAAGCTAGGCAAAATGTTGAAATAGACCGGCAAGCCAATAAATTATGTTTCAAACAAGCTTTTAGTACAGCAGAATTCCTCTGTTATACTATAAAGTCATGCAGTTATAATTTCACTTGTGTACATTAAATTCGACTGGAGTTTCCAACCTGTTAGTCTAGCAGTATTTTGTAAGGATTCTTACAATATATACGTTTGCAAAATGATTCCCAATTTTTTCTTTTAAAAAGATATATTCCTTGGAGTAAAACTGCATTTTCTTTTTAAAAAAAGAAAAGAAGAATATTGCCTTATGCCCTCTTTTCAATTGGGCGGGGGAGTAAGCAGGATAAAAACAAGGGTCTTATCAGTGTAATATCAAAGGCATGGAGGCAATGAAACACTGAAATAAAAAGTTGGCTTCGCAAACTCAAACACTGATGGGAGGGATTCTTGTCGCTTTAAAGACTCGTCTTTTCCTGACAGGGAGACATCTATCCACTTTAAAAGGGAAGATCTTAGATCTCTAGATTTAAAAAAAGAAAGAAAGAAAGAAAAAGAAAAGAAAGAAAAATGTTGGACCAATTCATAGCTCCCGTGTTCCATTCCACCTCGATTCCATTCCAGGCAGCTGTTTGGGTACCAGGATGAGGAAAGCAGACAAGCCTTCTTCTTTCCTCTCGGTGGCGAGTCTTAAGAGTTAGACGGGAGTTGCCTAGAGGTGGCCAGGTGTGACAGAGGAGAAGTGCCCTTGCAGCAGCCTAGGATGGCTTTGATGAAGGAGAAGGAAGCTGTGCTTCTTCCAGAGATTGTCAAGCTCCCAGCAACCCAGTCAGCCTGGCCAATAATCAGCGGTTTGGGAAGTTGCAGCTCAGCAACGCATTCCCACAGCGATGCCCTAGTCACGTCTGACTGTCTTAATTAAGAGATATTCCTGTTCTTCCCCAGAGGATGGGGACACAACTCAGGTCACCCCAGTTCTCTTTCCAAGCATCGCAGGATATCCTATTCAAGGGACAGTTGGGAGCAGATCATCTTATTGTTCCCAATCTCAGCCTTTCCCCAGATTAGTTCCCAGGGCGAATCCGTAGGGTTTCTTAGGGCTGTGTGTCATAGGCACAGAAAAAAAAAAAAAAAAAAGAAGATGATTAAACTCTTTTGTTTGGATAGCATGGCTAATATTCCAACAAGCACATTCAGCCTCTTGGTTTTTGTGAGGACCAGCAACAGTGAACAATACTGTCCAAGGAACACGCGTGCCAGCAAGTTTCTCCGAACGTAAAAATAAAGTTAAAACAAAAAAGCAAAAACAGGCCATCACCAACTCAAGATACACTTTTTTTTTATCTCTAAATGAATTAGAAACCAGCTCAGCACAAACTCTCCAGGTATAAATACTGGTGGCTCAGTCAGAGAAATAAAATAATATAATAAAATAAAGGTAAAATCCTAAAGTCAGAAGGCGCTACATCAGAGGGGACCAGTGAGAAGGCCAAGTGCTGTGGGACAGAGCAAGATGTGGCTGTGATGGGAGGGCCAGGGTGGGGTGGGATGGGGGGCGGCCCCGTGAACAGTTTCCAGGGCGAGCAACGGAGGCGCGTCAAGGGTCCTCTCCTCCTCCTCCTCCTCCTCCTCCCCTCCCGCCTCAGTCAACACTGCGTCCTGCTGCTGGGCAGCGGGTGGAGGGCAGGCGCCGGTGAGAAACCGCAAAGGCAGGAAGAGGTGAAAGGGCAGCAACTGGAAGGGTCACTCTGCCTCACTCGGTGGCTAGTGCAAATAGTCGTCCACTCTGGCGAAGGAGCAGGAGCCCAGGCCCACGCGAGCCATGAGTCGCAAGCACTCCGAGGCCTGGCCCAGGGCGAGCAGCAGCGGGGGCTGCTTTGGCAGGTTCTGAGACTCTGAGGAGAGAAAGAGACCAGAGATGCAGAAGGAACACGCCATCCAAACAGGCTACGTCTATACGGAAAGCATCTGCACCAAAGACAAATCCCTTGGGTGTCCAATCACACTTTGCCAATAAAGAATTCTATTTCTATTTCTATTTCTATTTCTAATTCTATTTCTATATCTATATCTATTTCTATTCTAGCCGTTCTTGCAATGTGGCTGGCAGAAGGATGGTCACATTTCCAAAATAGCCCAAACAGAATGGCCATTTATTTACTAGCCGGCAAGTTAGGAACATTGTAGTATGACATCACGGCTGTTACGATTCCAAGGGTGCTCTCTAGCAGCCGACTCCCTTTCACCTAATGCAGGGGTGTCAAATTCGCGGCTTGAGGGCTGCTTACGCTGGCCATGTCCACCCCCGGTTTAGCGAAGGGGGGGAAAGTTGCGATACGTCACGTGACGACAACGTGTCATGCGAATTTGACACCCCTGGTCTACAGGAGGCCAGGGAGATGATACACTTCCGAAGAAAATGTGGGGATGCAGTCACTTCTATTTTCTAAAAAAAAATCTGGCCCTGATGGGCACTCAGAGCCATTTTGCTCAATCAAGTGAATATTACACCTTCTACCAGCTTGCCAGTTATTGCTACAAAATACATGTTGGTTGTTTTTTTTTTTTTAAATTGTGATGCTTAAATGTGATGCTTTAAATTTTAATTGTGATGCTTCTGACACAAATAAACAATAAGCAACTCTAATTCTCCCCTCCCTCCCTTTCCCCCCCCCTCTTTTTTCTTCTTCTCTTTCTTATATACACGCACTCACGCTCCCTCTCTGGCACAGGTAATTTCCCCAAACCTGCAAAAATGCAGCAAAATCCCTCCCACGTTATTCCCGGTGCAGCAAGAGGTGTACAAAGCGGAGTTACGGTGGGCTCCCGGCCTCTCCTTACCCAAAATAGCACTATTGAGTGCAGCACACACAGGTTCCCTCTGGATTGGGTCCAGCTGCTGACCGACTGGGCAGTTCCAAGGGTCAGAGTAGGCTAACAAGCTGAATGCATCCTGAAAGAGTAACAAGAGATCTCAGCAGAGCAGCAAAGACTACCCGGTCCCAGTGGCTGTATCGCTCCCAGGATTTCAAGGTTGCTTTGATACAGTGCCCTATTTTATCTTGAAGGCATGAGGTTGTCTAGAGCAGAGGTCTCCAACCTTGGCAACTTTAAGACTTGTGGACTTCAACTCCCAGAATTCTCCAGCCAGCTCTGCTGGCTGGAGAACTCTGGGAGTTGAAGTCCACAAGTCATAAAGTGGCCAAGGTTGGAGACGGCTGCGCTAGAGAACCAGAAAGAGCTAGTAAGGGCATGCCGAGAGCTGAATTCGTAAACTGGCCAGGCGCAGTGTTCATTTTTTTCAAGCCCAGTTGAGTATTATTTTAAACATTAATAATACTTTTGGGGGAGGTTGTATTTAAATTGGGGAGGGGGATCATTTCTGATCACAGTAGCTTAAATAAGCTGCAATTTTTCCCTCTTCCATAGTATGGAATATAATACTAATGCAATAGCTCCCTCTACTGACCAGTGGAAAGCATTTATTTTTCACAGATGGAAAATCATACAGAAGGGGGGGTGTGTGTGTGTGATCATTTTGGGGGTGCGTGTGTGTCCAAGGCCAATTCTATTTTATCAGTGGGGAGAGGTTTAAATGATTTTGCCAAGGACAATGAATGGTTTCCTAAACTCTGAATCGCTTGGGACAATTTTAGTCTCTCTGGGAATTCTTGCTGAACTCTTAACAGGCCAATAAAAGAAAAGAAAGGATTAGAGCACTGATGATATTACTTAGTTGGATAATGAAATGTCTGCAAGGAAACGAACTCAGAGAGCACCGAGAACTCCACAATGTTTTTCACTGTCTTCCTGGTTTCATCTTTTTAAACAAATCATGCCAAAAAACCTTGTTTTACAGAGAAATAAAAGAGAGGACGTGTTTTGCATGAAAAAGGAGCAGCTTTAGGGAAAAATTCAGTCAAGCTGTGAATACCTGTAACATTTTTTTGTGGGTTGTGTTCTTGCCGTAGTCTCTGCATAGCTGCTCACTGAGGCTCTGGAGCTCCCGCCCGAACTGGATCATCCGCTCGGTGGCAGCGTGGTTCCCTCCACAGAGTTGCCTCTGAGGGCAGCCGTCTTCTGCGGAGAAGGGGGAAACCGCACGAAGAGATCAGGAACCTCCATGGCATCAAAGCACCTGCCTTCTTCAGGCCCACTGAAGCCCACCCCCCACCCTCCCAAATTATTAGCAGAGGTGGGTATTCAGCAGGTTCTGACCAGTTCTGGAGAACCGGTAGCGGAAATTTTGAGTAGTTTGGAGATCCGTCAAATCCCACCTCTGACTGGCCCCGCCCCCATCTAGTCTCCGCCTCCCGAGCTGATTGGCTGGGTCTTCCTTGGTTTCCCTGTGCAGGAGAATGGAGCTGGAAAGCAGGTTAGTGGGGAGGAGGGGGGTGGGTGGGGATTTTGCAGTATCCTTCCCCTGCCACGCCCACAGAACTGATATTAAAAAGTTTGAATCCCACCTTTAATTATTAGCCATATAAGTCACTGGGTACAGAAGTCTTCTAAAGAGGCCCCCGCCTGGAAGAACATTTAACCTTCCTAAAATCTTTTCAAAGGTTTAACTTTTAAGCCTTTTTTCTCAGCATTCCAGGACTTACTTCAAATCCACGAACATCGCATGCTTAAAATTTCAGAAGTTAAATTCTATGCTGGATCGTATAAGGTAAGCAAGCGTTGGGTCCACCCATTGTGCTAAACCAGGATGGATTCTATCCATTGTTGAATAAAGTAGAATGCGAGTAATTGTTGATTCGCAACCATTCTTTTATCGATGGTTTGAAGTTACAACAGTACAGGAAAAAGTGGCTTACAACCAATCCTCGCATTTATGACTGTTGTAGCATGTCCATGGTCATGTGATAAAAAAAACTGTTTTGCAATCAGAATATATACAGTTTCATCCATCACCTTTTGCGACCTCCCAACAAGCAAAGCCAATGGGGAAACAGATTCATTGAGCAACTGCGTGATCTTCTCAATTACAGTGATTTGCTTAATAACCAGGGCAAAAAGGTTGCAAAATGACTCATTCAACAACCACCTTGCTTAGCAACAGAAATTCTGGATTCAATTGTGGTTGTAAGTCGAGGACTATCTGAATATGAATGGAAGGATTGGAAAAAGCTTCTGATATAGAGTAATTTTCTGTAAGGAACCTCATCCACCCTGGATAAGGAACCGTTTTCTCAAAAAAAAAAGGGCATTTCTCCTACCTCCGCGCCCGCCAGACCTACCCATGCTGGAATCATCAGTCTGTAGAATCTCTTCGTGCTTGTAAGTGCCATTCATTATTCGGGTGGCTGAATTCTCCAGGATCCCGTTGGGATAGTGCTCCGCCTCCATCTCCATTTCACTGTCACTTGAATGAAGATGATGGAAGTCATGAGAAAGGGGAGGGGAGAAAGAAAGGCCCAAAGAGGAAAAGGCATGTCCTCAACATCAGCGGGAGATACAGACAGATACGATTTAGAATATATATACCAAGGGGTCCAGCTTGGGCAAACTTCAAGACCTGTGGGCTTCATGCCCCAGAATCCCCCAGCAATTATGGCTGGCTGGGAAACTCTGGGAGTTGAAATCCAAGTCTTAAAATGGCCAAGGTTGGCCATCTCCCAAAGGATCCGACGCCAGCCTCAAATAGCATTTGCACATCATTCAAATTAAGCAAGTTAATCTTGCCTGATCATAAGCACTCTTAACAATCTCATTGGGCAGTCTTTTTTTTTTTTTTTTTGGCGCCCATGTTGTTATACAAAAGTATTGTGAAATCTATCCAGGAGCTGAAAATTCATCCATTCCCAATACAGGAATGAGAAAAAAAAAAAAAAAGTATATCTCTTTCGAGTTGATTTCGACTCTCGAGGATTTTCTGGATGCCTCCATAGGATTTCCTTGAATGCAGCATGGAAGAGGTTTGACCTTGTCTTCGGTGGTATTGTTTTGGTTTTCCCATGTAGTCTACAGTCTTGAGATTAACTGATGATTAATCAAACAAACGTTAACTGGGCCTGGTCTACTTGGCCTCAGAGATCAACCAAGTTGAGCAAGGTGCTGCTGCCATGCTGGAGCTGTTACATCACCGTATGATTTATACAGAAAGTGAATTCGACTAGACAACTATGAAAAGAGCTGCCACTGTCTTTATACAGGTACCGCCTGACTTACAACCGTTATTTAGGGACCGCTTGAAGTTATCACAGCACGGGGAAAAAGTGACTAGTGGCCGCTTTTCACGCTTAACGATTGTGATCAAAGGCCATCAAAATTTGGATGCTTGCCAACCGTCTCATATTTATGACAGTTGCAGCGTCCCGGGGTGATGTGATCATCTTTTGCGAACCTCCTGAACAAGCAAAGTTCATATTAGGAACCATATTATTCACTTAACAACTGCCGTGATTCACTTAACAACTGTGGCAAGAAAGGTCGTTAAATGGGACAAAACCCATGGACAACTGTCTTGCTTAGCAATGGAAATGTTGGGACTCAACTGTGGTCGTAAGTCAAGGACTACCTGCACTCGATTATTACCTGGCCCTGTCCTAGAAAGGCACCTGTCTCACCTGGTTTCTTGGTTGCTAGTGCTGCTATGTTGCTGGGATTTGGTAGAATCTGTTGAGTTGGACTCTGAGTAGTTCACGGATGAAGGGGAGGAGGAGGAAGAGGAGGAGGAGGAGGAACTCAGTGCAGGATATTTACTGTGGCTCTGTTTGCTTTTGAGGGAGGTCACCCCATTGCTGCAGCTTGGGCTGTCTGCTCCTGAAGACAGAAAGAGAAAGTCAAGTTGGAAAGCCAGCGCTTTTTTAATGATTAAAAGTTGAAGCCCCACTAAAGGTAACGATTTCTCCTCTCCAATCGGGCCCAACTCTATGGGGCGGCGTTCATCTCCATTTCCTAGCTGAGAGAGAGCCAGCATTGTCCAAAGACACTTCCGTGGTCAAATGGGCTAGAAGGACTATATGCCAAGGCACACGGAACTTGGTTACTTTCCCACGGAAGTGGTACCTGTTTATCTACTCGCATTTGCATGCCTTCAAAACTGCTAGGTTGGCAGGAGCTGGGGCGAGTAATAATCTACTTCGGAGAAGCAATCTAAAATCAGGAGAGAGATAACTGAATTTGACAAAGTCACTGCCAAAACCTTACTCGGCCTTAACTCTTGTCTGAAGAGCTTATTGTGCCAGAATCATACTTCGTATGGGTATCAGTGGGTTCTGCACTACTGAAGGCACTTGGGCATCATTTTGAGAAGAAATTCTAACAGCAGCTTCCAGAAAGATAATGAAAAGTAGGCACCAAGTTAGCACCAAACCAAGGGGAGGACGTCTCTAGGAGAGAAGCAAACGCCTACCAGTGATGTGGATGTGCAAATTATTGGAGCCATGTCGGGGACTCAGGTTGGGGGAATCAGGGTAGCTGTCTTGTGATTTGGGGCTGCGGGTACTGAAAAAGCGCACTTCACTGTCTGTTCCATTCACCATCTCCACAAACTGCCGGCACCTAGGGATGCACAGGGGTGGGAAAGCAGGTGAGTGGGAAACTATACAGAAAATAAATAAATAAATGCAATAGTTCAGTAATATTCTGCATTAACTACACCAGGGGTGTCCAACCTTGGCAACTTTAAGACTTGTGGACTTCAACTTGTGGACTTCAACTCCCAGAATTCCTCAGCCAGCAAAGTTGCCAAGGTTGGACACCCCTGAACTACACCTTGGGCCTGGCATGCAGAGAAGCACACAGAGAAAAGAGCATTCTTGGTTCGACCTTCTTACAGCAAATGGCTCGCAGCTCCAAAGAATTGGAAAAAAAAATACACAATGCATCCATCAAAGTGGTGCAGAAGCGACATACCTAACAACCTCTAGATTATTAGATGGTGAATCTGAGGGCCTCCCTTTTAAACTTCCTGCAGCATTTAGGAAAACATTCTGTAAGTGAAACCACTGACACAAGCTTACAAGTCTTTGCTTGTCTGGTTTTAAAAAATGAGAAGTTATTCTGAGCTGTCTGAGAAAGTATCCCAATTCGCTTTCCCTAAAAAGGGATTCTTCTTAAGCTGCCTTCCATTTGGAAAGATATCAAGGGTTGCTATTTACAGCAGCACTCTGAAAGCAAGCTTCAATTATTTGAGTCAGGTCAAACCATATTTCTTAGAAGATTTATCCCCTCCAGTTTTTCTCCGACAGGGCACCCATAGTTCAAAGACAATCTTATTTATTCATTATGTATATCCTGCCTTTATTATATTTACAAATAACTCAAGGCAATGGACAATGCACCTTTCTTCTATTTTCCCTAAAAATACTCAGTGAGGTGGGTTGGGCTGAGAGAGACACACAAGTCACCCAGCTGGCTTTCATGGCTAAAAAGGGACTTAAACTCACGGTCTCCCACTTTCTAGTCTGGTGCCTTAACTACTAGCCTAGGGATGACCAGTCTTTGCCACTTTTAAGACTTGTGGACTTGAACTCCCAGAATTCCCCATGCTGGCTGGGAATATTAGGAGTACAAGTCTTAAAGGTTGCCAAGATTGGATGCCCCTGTACTAAATCAAACTGGCTCTTAGAATCCATTTTGTGCCCCCAGTCCTTTGTTCATAGAGTAAAAGGAGATTATAAATCCGTCTACTGCTTTGTCACAATTTTTGCTCCCTGACTTTCTAAACACCACAGTTCTTTGCACAAAAAAAGGCAGTTACACCGTACTCACTTTAACATGAAGAAGAGGTTAGGATTATGCTCCAGAAGCCCTGGATAGAGCTGCTGTGTTGCTTCAATGGCTTCACCTACTCTTCCTGCCAAAACCAGCTTTTGTATTCCTGGAGGTGAGAGCAGAACGATTAGGATGCAGGCTGTTGGGTATCACCTGACATTAGACAGGCAATAAAACAGGGTTTACCAATACATAAATTATTCAGATGCAATGAATACAAAAGAAAAATGTGTTTCAGCCGCATTAAAAAAATTAAGAACAAAATTAATTGTGACAATTTCTCATATCCTCAAGGCATTATTAATCTTTGGACGCCTGTAGTACATCAACAATTCATGGCAGATTGTTTTTCTGCAGGAACCCCACTCATGGCTGCCCTTCCACATGGAAGTCCGCCAATTAGCACTCATCTCTTTTTGTATGGGATCATGAAACTGATTAATTTTCAATATGTTTTCCATTATCAAATTAATTTTTCTATTAGAAACAGTAAGTGGGGAATCAATCAAGGTAGTCTTCAGTTCTTTCCATCGTGGAAAATAGAATGAACTGCTGGTTTCATATCAATGAAAACTGCAGATAAGGCGTTTTAAAGCATTAGAGTAGTATTTCTTAATAAGGTGCTGGAGCATCAGGCAATGATCCAACCTTTCACTGAAGTCTGTCTGGGTTTCCAGTTAACAGATGGTCTTGCTACAACCAGTCCCTTAAATTTGCTTGGAGATGTTGGCATATAGCTTGTATTAAGCAAATACATCAGCCTATTAACTGCCATATCCCATTTTGCAATAGTGTTTATTTGGAAACGCTCCACTTTAATGGTTCCACAATTATTGATGTTGGGTCAAAGGTTCCCCCACACACACAATTCTTTTTGTTTTTAACTACATTTTACCCATCCATCTAGTAACATGTCTTCAAAACCAAGAAAATAGCTCCATGCACTTATATTTTAAGTATTTCAAATGCATTTGGGAACATAAGCAAGAATCCCCAACTCCAAAAATAATATCCTTTTCCAGAAAACCACTTGGAAGCTACTTTGACAAACTTGGAAATCCACCATTTGTTGTCAATAAGTTATTAATTTTAAATGAACAACCAGGATCTCAGTCAACGCCCCACAAGAGGCAGGACTTGAGACAAAAAAGCCAGAAATTCAACTTGTGAAGGAAACAAAAAGGGTAACATGAAAGAAAAATCAGCTTTCAAAAATGATTTAGTCCGTTTCCAGAACAATCAAACCATTTGGTTTCGTTTGACAAATTGAAGGAAAAAAAGATGAGACACAGAAAAACAGAAAATGCCAGCCATAAAAAAGAACTAGAAGGAGCAATGGAGGACACTAAAGTTCTGCCAATTAATGTTAGGCTACACAACTTAATTACAGGTATATCAGTGTAATGATGCAGCCAGGGAGAGCTGCACATTTCAGGATGTAGGGAAAGCTACAGCAGTGATACAAAAAAGCTTACTTTGTCTGTTCTTTATGGAGATCTGTTCCTCCTGGACTGTACTTTCTGTCACACGGGCAAAGGCAGTGGCTGTAGTACAATATCCATGATGTACCAGATAGGAAGAGACCATGCTAGGAAATATAAAAAGCAGGCAACAGAAAGAACATCAGTGTCGGTACAAATTCCACAAAAAGTGGGGCACAAAGGGGGGAGGGGAAACATCTCTAGGATAGCCACATTAACACGGGCTTTGTTGTGCACGCACTGTTATTGTGGTTGGCTTTTGCTTCCCAGTATCGAAATATGCCAAGAAAAGGTTCCTTGGAAGGGTATAGAAGGCACTACCCATCTGACCTTCATTAAAATCAAGAGAATATGTATTAAGTGTGAAGAATCTGTTTAACCTCCTTGATTCTAATGCCTTTTGTGTGAATCACAAAGCAAGCAGAAGAACGAACATTGGTATGCTCAGTCAATATCTCGCTATAGAAGTGATCTGGAAACATTTCCAGGCCTATGTATGGGAAGCTTTTTAGAAATTTGAAATGAAATATACTGCCTAGCTTTTCAACACGTCTGCTGTTGGCTCATAAAACCCATGTTTTCTTTATTGTAAAAAAAAAGAAATAGAGATAAAAGTCGGCCTATTTGCTGAACTTGTCCTGCTTTCATCTAGATATTCTACTAGGACTAGTAGAAACAACCAGCTCTGCATGTCTTTTGTTCAGGGCATAAATATGTATGAAGTCTGGTTTTCCTTCATTTCTTTTGTGATTTGGCTGTATCAAAGAGCGTGGCTTTTGGCAAAGCTCCACCTTCCCTTCAGCTCTCATTTCTCAACCTAACGGAAGAAACAATGATCAAACCAGGCAAAAAAGCAAGCAGCATATCTGCGCTACCCATCAGCTACAAACAAGGTGCAAGGAAAGCAGCTAGCAGTCCTGTCCGTCGTAAGGTAAGGACCCCCTCTGCTCTCTCAGGGACACAGAAAACCAATAAGGTAAGAATGGTGAGTGAGGGATGTCATTTTACAGCAGAACATTCTTGTGAATTTAACGTCAAGGCAATCCAAGCTGCCACTCACTTCTGTAGCATGGCTTGCCATTCCCCTAGCTGGTCACCTATGGGAAACCTTTTAATCGTGCCCTGAATCTTTGCTCGCCACTCTCTCATATAGTCTTCAATGTCGAACACAAATGGCTGTTGCCCAAAGTTGGCATCCACAATCTCTCCGGGTGTCTGGAGCCCCACAGTGGGATATAGATTGGCCTGCCAAAAAAACGAAGCCCAAGTTAAAAAACCCGGGCTCTTTAAGGAAAGAAAGCAGAGACATACATTTCCCCCCCTCCTTTGGAAGAGGGTCGTCAGGGAACCCTGAACAATGGGCTTCCGGGCCAGATGGACACATGGGCACTTTGCAGAAAATGGCTTTCCCTGAAAACCATTTTGGGAAGAGTCAGCGTAATACAGGTAGTCCTTGCAACTTGCAACCATTCGTTTAGTGACTGTCCAAGGTTGCAACGGCACTAAAAAAAAAAAAAAGGGTGTCATGACCATCTCAAACCTACGATTGTTGCAGCATCCCCGTGGTCACCTGATCAAAATTCAAGCACTTGGCAACTTGGCATGTATGTTTATGACGGTTGTGGTATCTTGGGATCATGTGATCCCCTTGCGTGACCTTCTGGCAATGGGGAAACCAGATTCACTTAACAACCATGTTACTAACAACTGACAGCAGTGATTCACTTAGCAGCTGTGGCAACAAAGGTCATAAAATGGGAGCAAAAAAATCACTTTAAGTCTCTTGCTATGCAACGGAAATTTGGCGCTCAATTGTGGTCGTATGTCGCGGACTAACTGTACAAGAAACACTTCTCAAAATCAAAAGAAACTGTTTGCAGCTTAGGATCTTTGGAGTTGGAAGAAAAAAAAGTATACCTAGATTAGCAGATAAGATTACAGACATAGGAAGGGAATTGTCCAAAACGCAAACAATGAAAATGTAGCAGGTTGTCGCTACAGTGTATGCTTCATTCAACATAAATCCTATATATACAGTATTTTAACTGTTTGCCGAAGAAGACATTAATGTGCTGTATTTTCACATGACATTTTGAACAGTTCAGTTAATTTCGGGAATGGGACAAGCATGGCGCAAGGGGTATCTTTCAAGGTGCCATATTTGAAAACTGCTTAGAAAGGCACATTGAGAAAGACAACTGGAATGAAACTGATTTGGAAATAAGTATGGCTTTCTCCTCCAGTCAAAATTCAGACTTCTATTTTGAGCTGCAAAACAATCTGTGGCAGGGCAGCTGAGTCAATGGCGCTGGCCTCTATTCTGTTTATTTGTGAAGTGTTTATGTTTTTATTCTATCCAATTTCAGGGACTTTTTCAGCATCTAAAGACATGTTGTATCAAATCTGGAGGTCTGTTGATGTACAAAAAACAGCAATGTATCACACTCCAACAATATATACGGTTGCTTTCTTGTTGTCACAGGCCTGGGCAATAAATAAAAATATGCCATTCATCTGTAATTTTTAAAGATTAAAACCTTTTATGCCTATATTGTGGAGTTAATTGAATCTCAACTAATATCTATCTCTACTGCATTCAATAGCAAAATGACCAAGAATAAGCAGCTTTCAAAAAAACCATCTTCATAAATCCTCTCAAAAATTAAATCTCAGTTGGAACACATGATCTCGCTGCCTGTGGTAAAAACCATTTGGTAAAACTCTTAAAGCTGCTGAATGAAAAGCATCCCAGCTTTGATTTATGATGGACTCTGAAGTCAGCTGATTCATCTCCACTCCAACAAGCGCTGTTTAAGCAACTCTCTGCACTCCAGATGTGTTTTATTCCAAATCTAGGGATTTCCTT